CCCTAAGTGTAGAGTTTTCCCAATAAGATCTCTCACGTTGCTTTGTGGGCACTAGTCAGGGATTGAAATAAACTAGCAAAATGCCCCATACAGTATTTTCTTTATTAACTATTTGCACATAAATCCTAAATCTCTCTTGAAACTAAAATGTCCTGTGCTCCTCTTCTTCCCCCTTAGGTCCGATCCAGCCTGACAGCACAGATGCAGTGTTGCACAAGGACAGCCCAGTAATGGGGCTGGTGGCAGGGTGGGTGGTTGGGTGGCTGGAGCTCCCCAAGGGGCCCCCTGGGGTACATGAGACAGAGGGGTCTAGGACAGAATGGATGGCCAGATTCTTCCCCTGGAAGTACAGGGATGTCTCTCATCAGAACACAACAGGCTGGCCTTCCTAAGTAGCCCTGACTCACCCATGATCCCATGCCAAGTTCTCTGGACTGGGCCAGAGAGACTGAGATAGGAAGAGAGTGAGAGAGAGAGAGACAGAAAGGAGAGAGAATAATACAGCGATTCAGACACTGAAACAGAGATAGTTAGGGACAGGGACAGAGATATGTAGAGAGATACACAGTGATGAGAAAGAAACAGAGAGTGACTCCTAAAATCCACAGAACAAAACAGAAAACTCCTTGGCAGCTAAACAGGGAGATCACCGGGCCTCCATGTCTGGCAAGCCTCTTGAACTGCTGGAAGGATTGAATGCACACAGCTCCTCGTGAGCCGATAACCTTCCCCTCAACCTCAGATCCTACCCCAGACGCCGCTCAGAAGGAGCTTTGAGAAATTAAAGGCCCTAGAGTGGAACCCGGAACAGACTCCCCAAATAAGTGCACAGAGGGGGCAGCTGCATGTCCCCAGCCTCCTCACCGGCAGCACTGGGAGGCCCCGTGAGGACACAGCACATGACTAAAAGCTGCCCACAGGCACGACGTCTCCAGAGAGGTGCCAAGATCCCACCCACTTCTCAGCACCCAGCAATCCCCACCAAGCAGCCCAGAGCCCTGGGCTCAACAGTGCAGTGGAGAAAACAGGGCAGGATGGAGGTGGAGCTCATGAATCCATCAGGGGATGACTTGAGCTTCTGTCTCAACAGATCGCCACCTTCAAGAAGCCAGGAAAAGGGTGGCGCTGCAGGTTCAGACACACAGCACCAAAGACAGCAGGCACCACTTGAGGGTTAGAAATAACCCCCAGCCCCATGCCACAGAAGTTGCACGGCCAGCACCCTGCCCTTCCCTAAGCCTGGAACGAAGTGCTTTCCTTCCTGTCCCAGGCGGGCTGCTCTGGCTGCTTGTGTGTGGACAGGCGCCCATGGCACAGGTCACTCAGGACCACGCAGGTGTATTTCCAGCTCCTTGACCAGGGAGACATGGGGGGGGGGGGCTGCCATGTAAATAGACATACCAACAGCCAAGAAAAATAAATCACAGTGTGGTGCCCTCTTCCCAAGGATAAAAATGCAAAAACTTAAAATGAGAAAATGCTGCACAATGATGTGGATGTATTTAATACCATACAACTGTATACTTCAAAATGGTTAAAATTGTACATTTTAATCCATGTATATTTCTCCACAATAAGAATTCAAATATATTTTTTTTAAATGAGCTGCTCAATCAATACCACCATAATCTTTCTGCCTGATTTCCTGAGTTGACTTCATGAAAAAGCAACCACTTCTAATAGGGTGCCAGATGGCAGGGCCACTCCCTCCAGGTGAACAGGTCGGTAAATAGGCCCTTCCCTCCCCCAAAGGAACCAGCCAAATTCCTGGTCTCCCTCAGTGACGAGCTCTAGGTCCTCTGGCTGCCCAGACTCAGGGTCACAGAACATGCTAGTTGTTCGGCTCACAGACATCACCTCTCCAGGCAGAAGGATGTTCCTTGCCCGCACTGGGATACCTCTGCCTCAAGGCTTTCCCCTGCAGGAATGAATGAATAGGGCCAGTGACATGCTGGGTTACACCCAGCCTTGCAATCCCTGCTGAGGTGACAAGAGTGTTGGACACCAGTGGCTGGAGCTCCCCAGGGGATCAACCGCAGGTGCAAAGGCTTGCAAACACATCCTTCCCTTCCCTATCTTCCCCCTTCACTCCCTCTGGAGTTTCCAGGGTGACTTTCTAAGTGAAACCTGGTCTCAGAGTCTGCTTATGGAGAAACCCAAGCCAAAGAGTCTCCAGAGGAGCTGGGACACTACTGAGGGAGGAAAGAATGGACTGCTGCAGGCAAAACCCATCTGTGGGCACGGCCCTCCTCCCCTCCCTGTCCCTATCCTGCCCTCAGATGCAATGCTCTGTGGTTCTCCTCAAGGCTGGGAAAACAGTGGCCCAAGCCAACGTGGTCCTCGCCTCCCATTCTGTGCCCCAGGGTAAAAATACCACTGAAAGAATTCCTACTTTAAAAACCAGGAAGAGGGGCTGGGATTGTGGCTCAGCGGTAGAGTGCTCACTTAGGGAGGGATAGATCCTTTGAGGCCTTGGGTTTGATCCTCAGCACCACATAAAATAAATAAAAATAAAGGTATTGTGTCCAACGACAATTAAAAAATAAACCAGGATGATGTTTCCTATGCTAAGATGTCAGCATTGCCTACAAGACAACAATAGACTTAAGTAGAATAATTAAAAAAAGATTAGAGACAGAGACCTGTACAGCAGACAGGACCCTGGAAGGGGCAGCAGCTCCGCAAGACACTTCCTTGAGGAGGGTCTGCTGCTTGAGGGCCTGAGACTCTGTCCCAAGGAACCTTCATAAGAACCCAATTCACAGGGAAAGCTAATTAAGGGATCTGTGGCTCTTGAAAAACAGAATTCCCTTTGTTTTTATGGAATTAAGGGAACTTTACCAAAAAAGGGGTTCCTGACCACTCACTCTACCCTCCTGGCTGCCTGCACCCATCCTGCAAAAGCTGCAGGCACAACTGTCCTCCTGGTGGCAGAGCCCTGCCCTACTCTGCCTCAAGGTCTAGGGCCAGTTCTGATCTTGGCCACTAGCCTGGTTAACCCCCAAGTCTATTAAATTCTTTTCACCTGATAATCAAAGGGCCTGACTTGAACTGACTCCTGGCCAGCTCTCCTCCTGCCAGTGGATGTGGCCCAAATGACCATAGCCCATGGTGTCCAATTTTACCTGAAGCTCCTCTGCTGCCCCATAAGTGGTCCATGGCATTCAGAAGACAGAGCCAGAATTTTAAGATGGAAAGAGAGTCTCTGGCAAGTATCTGCTGTGCACCAGCAAACCACGCACCAACGCCCCGGGCTCCTCACAGGTGCCCCCAATCTATGCAAGGCTCCAGGGTTGCCTGAGAGTGGAGTGTGGGTCACCTGGGTAGGGCCGATTTGGTAATATCAAAGCCAGCAACCATGACTTACTGAGGCCCCGAAGAGGGCTCTATGGGGCTCAACTCGTTTGATTCCCATAACAACCCTATGATCTCCACTACAGAGGGAAAGTTATGACATAGCAAAGTGAAGTAACCTGTTCACGACCAATCAGCTAGAGACTGAATAGAAACACCTGGGCCAGGAGCTCAGTACAGTTTGCACCCGTGTTGTGTGGGCGTGGCGAGCACCTGCCTGCCAGCCCAAGGGTGGAGGTGGGGCTGCTTAGGCCTCAGATTAAGCATGCAGGGGGATTGCAGCCCCAGGGAGCTCTTGGCTTCCAATTTAGGGGGAACTCTCTGCTTTGGCTGAGCTCAGGTATTTCTGCAGGGCCCCTCACCTTGGGACTGCCTGTTACCTCCTGACTCAAAACTTTTATATACAAACAGAGATATGAAAAATTGTGCTCTATATGTTAATAAGAATTGTAATGCATTTTGCCGTCATGTATTTAAAAAATAAAATTTAAAAAAACAAAAAAAAATATTTTCCATCCTTCCCCAGCAACAGTCCACACCACGGCCACAGCCCCTGCATTAGCAGGCTCCCTGCATCCCAGTAAAACTAGGCCACTCTGTCCTTCAGACCATAATGAGGCACTGAGGAGAGCTCTGTCAAGCACGTAACAGGAGAGATGAAGCCTGACCAGCCGGAAAATTGGGGATAAGCACAGCGGCAGAGCCAACCACCAACCGGAAGGTTTCCCCTTTTGCAGTCAGGAGACTGGCCCCAGAGCCAGGACTCAGCAGTTCTCACGCCAGTACACAGTATAAGAGGGTCCTTTGTGTCCCTCAGATGCCACCCCACTCAAAGGGCTTTGTAAATGACAGCAGTCTAAGCCCCTCCGCCCACCCACCGAAGGCCTGTATCATTTGGGGTCAAGCCCCCAGGCAGGCTCTGTAAGGCCCATTCTGGGACCTGTCCCTGATCCCAAAACAATGGCTTCTGCAAAACATCCCAAGTTCTTACTCAACAAATGCTGCACCTTTCATCTTGGTCTCCAAGATTTCATATTGAGTTAGAGGATGTCCTTGGGCATACAGTGGCAGATGCTAATATTGCCATAGACCTATACGTTATTATGGAACCTATCTCCCCCGCACCCACCCCACGGCAATTTAACTCAGTAACTCTAGCTACACACTGCAGGCCCAGGTGCCATACCTTGATCTCATCTAACCCCCCCAGCGGGGAGGTACATTAGTTAGGACTGAGTTCACGTGGGACCCGCCCGCCTCCAATGGCAGTAGCTCAAACTACTGCTACTCCAAATTCATACTGCCCAAGTTACCTATGGATCTTGATAAAATGCAGGTCGGGTGAGATTCAACGTTTTGCATTTCTAACAAATTTCCAGATGGGACCAACACTGCTGAGCAAGCACCACAGGCTTCAATGAGTACTGATTAATTTCTCTGCGTGGCAAATGAGTGCGAAGGAAAGCAGTCACAGGCTGGTGTGTGGCTCTACCGTGCTCAATAGGTAGTGACTTCCTTATAGGACAGTACATCTGCTCAAGAACCAGCCATCACATCTCTGTATTTCAGTGTGTTAGGCTCCCATCACCGTAACAAATACCTGAGATAAATCAACGGAATCAGAGGAAAGACTGATTTTGACTCACAGTTTCAGGTTATGGTCACATGGTCCTGCTGCCTTCAAACCTGTGGAGAGGTCTACATCGCGGCGGGGAGTGAGTATTGGAGGAAGCCGCTCACCTCTCAGTGGCTGGAAAGCAGAGAGGGAGGCAGGAAGGGGCAAGGGTTCTAATAACCCCTTCAGGAGCACGCCCTCGCTGACCTAACTTCCTCTCAGCAGACCAGAACTCTTAAAGGTTCCGCGACTTCCAATAGCATCAAGAGGCTGGTGACCAAGCCTTTAACACATGGGCCTTTGAGGGACATTTCAGATCAAAACCATAACATTCCAGACCTGGACCCCAAAGCCTCATGTCCATTGCACAGTGCCAAATGCACTCGTCCATCTCCAAAAGTCTTCAAAGTCTTAACAGTTCCAGCCTTGCTCAAAAGTCCAAATTCAAAGTTTCCTCTGAGACTCAAGACAAACTAAATTGTGAATCCCTGCAAAAAATAAATAAATAAATACATACATACATATTTTTAAGTTACATGTTTCCAAGATACAGAGGCACAGGGTAAACATTCCCATTCCAGAAGAATAGGAAAATAGTAAGGAGGAATCAGACCAAAGCAAGATTGAAACCCAGCAACACAAAGGTTAAATCCTACAGCTTCAAGTGCAGGCATCAGGGTACACTATGGCATGATGTGGGTGGGCTGCAAAGTGCTTGGCAGCCACATCCTTATGACCTTGCTAGCTGTAGCCCACATGGCCTCTCTCCAGCTGGCCCTCCTGCTGCTGCCTGCAGCCTCCCTGTGCAGGTGTTTTGGGTCCCTGGGACCTCTAACTTTCTGGAGTCTCCATCACAGCTTCATGCATTGCCCTTTTAGGGTTGCTCATAGGGACCCTGCCACATAGCATGGCCTCCCGGACTTTCCTTTGAAATGTTGGTAGTTGCTTCTATGACTCCATAACTTCTATTCTTTTTTTATATTCATTTTTTAGTTGTAGTTGGACATAATACCTTTATTTTATTTTATTTTTTATGTGGTGCTGAGGATTGAACCCAGGGCCTCGCACGTGCTAGGCAAGTGCTCTACCACTGAGCCACCACCCCAGCCCTCATAACTCCCATTCTGCAAACCTGCAAAACCAGCATCAAGTAGTGGAGGCCAAGATCTGACTGGAACCACAGCTGCATCTGAATGTTTCAGGCAGAAATGGGTATCTTGAGGCTCACAGTTGCCTGGGTGACCCTCTGGGAGCTTGGGGGCTCTCTTCCCAAACAAATATCTTTGAAAGGAGTTTGCATGGTTTTACACTTTTACACTTTGAGCCTGCCATGGGTAGGGTCTTGCCAATTCCTGAGATGCCCTCCAGGAATCTTTTCTATTGTCCCAGTGCAAAGTTCTTGGCTTCTCCTTCTGGAGATTGAACCCAGAGCCTCACCCACGTTAGGCAATCACACTCTACCACTGAACTATGTCCCCATCCTTTTTGTTTATTTTCAAGACAGGGTCTCACTAAATTGTTGAGCCTGGCTTCAAACTTGCAACCTTCTGATTCCTTCCATTGCTGTTGACCTTAAAGTGACACAGCCAAGGGGGCAGCCCTTGTCACAGAACCTGCATAGTTTGGGAACCTCTAGAGCTATACCCTCAACTCTCTTTGCCTCAACTTCACTGTCAAATGTCAGTCCACACCTGGGCAGCCCTGGTGTGAAGTACAGCGCTTAATGAGACCTCTTTCCTTCCATTTGACAGTGACAAAAGGGGTAAACACCACAAAACATGGTCAGAATTGACCTAGACACTGGCAGAAGTGGAGCAAGAGCTCAGAGTGATTCTGCTTGACATGGACCTGTAGAAAAATAGACCCAGGGTCATTTCACTTTACAGGCCAAGGTTATTTGTCAGCAAGATGGAGAGAAATGCATTGGTACATTCTGGAACTTCAGTATTGATGAGCAGCCATGCCTCTGTTTTAAAGTGATGTACACGAGGTGGACAATGATTAATCCTAGAGCAGAGGGCACAAGGAGAAGTGGGAGAATGACAAGGAATGGGTACAATATTTCAGGAAGATCTCCATGGAAGAGTGCAGTCACTCTCAGAGTACTGGGAAGAAATACCAGCATCAGCACGAACAGCCTCAGAGACCACCAGTCTCCACCTACCCTGGATATTTTATGATCATCTTGGTGGTCTTTATGAGCACAATCCTAATTGGCATATTCATCATGGTCCATAGGAAAACAGACACCATAGAAGAGGTTTCTCTGTACAGCTCATCCACTTCCATCATCTGTAAACTGGTCTCCCATCATTGTCAGCAGCTCTCAGCTAATTCTTCTGAACGGCACCTGTTGCTTCTTCATCAAAGCAAGTGAAAGCATTGATGATGCCATCTTCGAAATCTGTGTCATTTAACTTCTCACCAGACATGGACCCCAGAGCTCGTTCATCATGGCCTTAAAGTCTGCATCAATAGGATTATTCCCTAGGGAGACAAGCGTATCATGCAAATCTTTGTTCACAAAACCTTCTCTATTCTCATCAGTCATGTTAAAGGCCTCTTTGAACTCCTGAATCTGTGCATGGTAAAATATGGCAATGACATTTGATGCTGAACACTGAGGGACTCTTGGTGGTCTTGGTCTTCGCCCTGTTGCTCTACATGGATATGGTGACTTTGTACTTCTGGAGCCAGACACCTGAACCTAGTTGGCCCTGTGTGAGAAGACCAGAGACTGCCATGGGCAATGGGGTGTGGAGAGCAGTGGTGGCACAGCCCTTCTGGTCTGGATAAAGAATGGAAGGCACTGGGCAGGGCACGGGATGGTGCGGTGAGCACAGCTCAAAATAATGGATCCCGGGTGCGCATTGCCTCCACGCTGCCTGGGCTGAATGCCCACAGCCCGGGTTTGGGTTGTCTCTTCCTTGCCTATTCTGATCTGCAGCCCTCCTGCAGCAGACTCCTCCCTCTATGCTCCTGACAGTGCTAAAAGAAATAAATGTGAACCATGTGTAATTAAAAAATAAAAATGAAAACCTCGCAAATCCCCTTCCTTGGCCACACACTTTTCCAACCTGTCTTTGATATTCCTCCCATTAGGGACCTATCTTCTTTGAACCTGGGCTAGTCTAGTGACTTGTTCTGAACAACAGAAGGCATGGGAAATATTGATGTACCATTCCAAGTGTAGACCAGAAGAGTCCCTGTATGCTGCTCTCTGGGGCCTGCCAGTATCATGTGAACCAACTCAGTCTCGCCTCTCAGGAATGGGAGACGACAAGCACAACACTGAGTCAGCTCTTCATCCCAGACACACAGGCGAACCAGGAGAAATCAGAAGTGGCCTGCTGACCCAGCCGTTGACTGCAACTACCTAAGGGGACCATCCTAGAGCCGCTAATCCCCAGCCAATCTGCAGACTGGTGAGCTAAACAAATTCTTGGGTTTTGGAGTGATTTGTTAGGCAGCCATAGCTGAGCAGCACATCTCTCCCTTGGCTGGATCCTGAATCCCACCTTGCCGGGAAGTACAGGCAGACTCCCAACCTGCAGCAGCTCTCCCCACACAGTTCTCCTCAAGTCTTATTTCACTTTTTAAGTCTCTCAATCATTTGGGATCTCTTCAGTGATTTTTTGAGAGGTCTGGTTCTCTGTCACCTAATTTGGACTTTTTCACTCTGGAAATTCAGTCATTATATACATAAAACTTCCAACTCAACACACTGTTACATATTGAGAAATGTGTGTATTGGTTGAACTTTGCTTTTCACTGAAAGCAGGGACCATTTGCCTTACCAGTGTCAATGTCTGATGTTTCTACCCCTTACTGTCATTTCAATTTGTGGATATGGTGTGCAGAATGGCTTTAGAGAAACTAGAGTTTGAGAAGAAACTCTTTTCTCTGCTTCTGTGGGTGGGTGGGGCTTGTGCAAGCCTGCATGATAGGGTCAGCAGCCAAGGGTGCAGCCAGCAAAGCCAGATTCTTCTCCACTGCCATCAAGTGGTGTGGCAGCCTATGCCCTCCAGTGCTGCAACAGATCCCAGCACCCAGACCCCACCACCAACTTCTTTCCAGGTTCTTGTCTCCAATAGGACAATGAAAGGCAAGAGTGAAAGGAGCAGGACTTATTCAAGTGTGAAGGATGGAAACCACTCTTGAGGAGCGAGAGGGAAGCTAATGGAAGTTGCTGCCTGAGTGCGCTAGTCTAGGAGTTCATATTGCACTGGGTCAATGCTATCGGTTCAAATTTATGCTAGTCAGATGGAAAAGCACTAACACTATTGGTTAACCCTTCAGTCTGGACTTCCATTCAGGTCTGCCCCACGTCAGCCGGATGGTAGATGCTCTGGGTTCCTGGCTACAGTGCTGTGTGGAGCAGGTGTTTCCACTGGATGGGACCCTGCCTGTGGTGCTCAGGCCCTCGATGGCTTGGCAGGCTCTGCATGCTGCCTGCATTCCAGGCTCCCTGGGCCACCACTCCACAGCTTCAGGACAAGGGCTTGGCTTCATTAGGACACTGGACAAAGTCACTCATGTGATGGCAGGAGTGAGTTCTGTCCATTTTTAAAATGGTCACACTTAGTATCTCAGGAATGGGCTGCATTTGTGATGCAAGACACCTACTAAAACCCACATTTAACAGGAGAGAAATCTGGGGCATGATGAGCTGAACCAGCGTGGCTTAGGTCAGAGTGCAGCTCCCAGGGGTCCTGCCTCTTTTTCCTCTCTTACTTCACCCATGCCCTCTCCAGCCTTCAGGATCATGAATTTTGTGGACTTGTAACCTTTTAATAAAGTACAGACAATCAAAGATGTAGACAGGTGCTTGGCTTGGGGCTTTCCTTAAGTAATCCAGATCAACATTGGATTTCAAATCCCTCAAAGGCAACGACCAGGCATTCTCTTCAATAAGCAGTAAATAAGCTGACTATAAAAGGAAAATTACTGTCCCATGGGGTTATACAGCCTATTTATTTGAATTTCAGTTATTGTTACAAGAATTTATGGTATATTTATCATCATGAAAAGCATTTATCTTCAGGCAACTGAAGCAATAAGAAAGGCATAACATTTAATTTTACCCACAACATTTCCTTTAATCCAATCTGACACCACAAGAAGAAAAAAAAAAGAAT